ATTTATTCCACTGTCAAAATAAATTATAATTTAAAGCCATAACATGTTAAAAGATAAAGGAGAATTTGTGGCACAGCCGCATTAACAGACAACAGTCTAAAGTGCAACACTAAACAAGTGGTCTCTGTTCCCACAATGGAATAAATACACAACAACTACACATAAAATGTCACAAAATATCTGAGATGAGGCAAATAACCCTTTGAAATGAACTGCCCAATAAATAATTGCTATTAACATTTTAATATTAATGGAAAGATGGAAAAATCCCTTAAGTGGCTACTAACTCGAACCCTCATTTCATGCACCTGGCCTTGGCATCTGTCTCCCTTCCCTGGTCACATCCTAATCCAGAAAGCCTTCTGCACCCCATGCTTGAAAATGCAATCCTAAGTCCCCGAGGTTCTCAGCACAGACTGATGTTAATGACGCTGTGTGCAATGTTCATCCAGAACTTCCAGGGAAATCAGGAGCACAAACACAAGACTACAGTGTCACTTCTTTGAACAACAGTTTTAACTGTCAAATGAGCATTTCATAAACCAAAATATTATCTTCCTATGTTTGTTTTTCTTGCAAAAAAGTCAAGTAGGTCATCCAAGTAAATAATGAATTTTAACAGAAATAATGAAAATTCAAAGGGTTTATGCCAAAAAGCAAACCAGTCCTCTACAGCCTAACTCATTTGTTTTTGGGTTATGAAGCCATGTAGATGGCAATCAGGCAGTAGATGGTCCCTCCCACAGTCAGCGCCATAGTGGTCCTATAAAGCATTTGGTCAGGCAGGCCTTGTTTCAGGTGGACAGGCACACCGTCGGATTTCTGGAAAAACTGCAACTCTGGAACCTTGTTTTTCCCAGTATAATCATATGCAGTGGAATCGGAGGTTAGTTTGGTTGGTGTGGCAAATGAGATAGGTGGTGCCTCTGTGGAAACCACAGGCTTTAATCCCTGCGGACTATACGCATCTGAAGCCCATGCTCCCATCAACTTCTGCGTGAAGCTGCTAAACTTATAATACATGATGCCCGGAGCCTGGCTCCCTGCATCCACTACCTGCGTGACTGCTCCAGAAAAGGTCAATTATTGTTTACTGAGCAAAAACAATGTGCAGGCACATTTGTTTCTCATAGGTAATGCCAAGACAGTGGTGGCACATAGTAAGTGATAAGATGCAGGACTCAAATTAATTACACTCTAAAAAAAATTTTTTTTTAATTTTTTTGAGACAGAGTTTTATTTTGCCACCCTCAGTAGAGTGCTGTGGCGTCATAGCTCACGACAACCTCAAACTCTTGGGCTTGCCTCAACCTCCCCAGTAGCTGGGACTACAGGCACCTGCCACAACGCCCAGTTGTTTTCTTTTTTTAGAGATGAGGTCTCACTCTGGCTCAGGCAGGTCTCGAACGCCTGAGGTCAAGCAATCCATCCACCTCAGCCTCCCAGAGTTCTGGGATTATAGGACTGGGCCACCATGCCAGCCTAATTCCACTTTCTTAGTGCCAGGATTATAGGTGTGAGCCTCCGCCCAACCTGATTCCACTTTCTTGGTGAATCAGCAGTAAAGATCAGAAGGTCTATAATAACCTACGCCGGGGGCATGATCAAGATGCCGACTGGATGGGGCAGGATGTGAGAAGCCTTCCTGAGAGAAGCCAGAATGGCAGCAGACACTTGCTGGCCCACAGCATTGGTGGTCCAGGAGAGAATGCTGGGATTCACCAGGGAAGCGACAGGGATCACTATAAGTGGGTCTCGGGCCTAACACAGGGGCTGCCTAGAGGCTACACAGATGCTACTCCAGACAGGGAACCCATGTAGAGTCCCACAGGCACTGAGTTTGGGGCAGCCTGAGCCAAGCACCACCCTGAGACTCTACATACCAGAAATCTGGAAAGCTGTGTGCATACCTGCAGCCACCGCTGAGCTCTGAGGAGGACTGTGGAGCCCAGATGTTCCCACACACCCTTCTGAAGGTCCCTACTACCCTCTGGACTGCTTCTGAGACTGAGACATGAGCAGATAGCACTTTACAGCCTCTCAACCACACTGTCTGTGTGGGTAGGGCCCCAACTTTGTGGTCTCAAGTTCCAGGCTGCACTGTGAGGATATGACACTGGACTGTGCCCCACCCTTGGGCTGAGTTTGGGCTGCAGCCCCTGCAAGGTGGGGGCAGTGAAGCCAGACTTTCCAGTGCCCATCTGGGATAGTGCTCACCACCCTGCAGCCTGCTGCCATGGGACTATCACCCAAGCTATATTTCCTAGTTTCCTGTCAGCCCAGCTTGCTTGGTAAGGGCACTGCCTCTCTGCCTACAGGCTCTGCTGCCACTTTTGAGGCTCAAAGCTGGGGAGCACCAGACCCTCAGGATGAGTTCAGGCCACCAGAGCCAGAGCCCTGCCCAGCTAAGGAGGGACAGGAGAGCCCAGACTTTCCTGTCCACTGCTAGGACAATCCCGTCATGCTGCTCTAGGCTGCTGAAAGACTGAGCCAGAAGTGACAGCACTACCCCAGCATCTCAGCTATTTGCTGGGAAGGGGCTCTATCCTCTCTGGTTCACAGGCTCAAGCTACCACTATTCGGGAATGCAAAGCTGGGCAGGGTCCCGCCCTCTAAGTTGGGGCTGACACAGCCCTGCCTAGCTGGTGACAGGGGAGTCCAAGGTCTCCTATATACCTAGGACATTTCCCATGGCCCTGCCACCAGCTTCTGTGGGAATGAGATATGAGTAGACAGTACCCCATGGGTTCTTGCCTCTGTTGCTTCCTGAAAGGGGCTGTGCCCCTCTTTGCACACCCACAGCCAGCACCATTTAATTCTGGGCCATGCCCTGCTCTTAGTGAAGTTCAAGGTGGCATGACTACAGCTATTACCTGGCCAGAGAGGTACAAGGAAGCCCAAGCTCCAGGCAAAGCACAGTAACCACCACCTGTTAAGGCAGCTGTGGGGCTGGGACTGGCCTGCTCAAGCTACTGCAGCTACCACATCAACATGGACACTCCTACTGCCACCCCCCACATCAACATGGACACTCCCACAGTCACCCCCCACATCAACATGGACACTCCTACTGCCACCCCCCACATCAACATGGACACTCCCACTGCCACTCCCCACATCAACATGGACACTCCCACGGTCACCCCCTACATCAACATGGACACTCCCACTGCCACCCCCCACATCAACATGGACACTCCTACTGCCACCCCCCACATCAACAT